CATTCGAAGGCCAATTCCACCAGAAGACGACGGAGGATTTCTCTTGACCAGCTGTCGATTGGCCTTACTGGAACATTCATGTTGACGATATTTCCGAGGTAATCTCATACGATTCCGGTGAAAATGTGCTAGGCTTGCGTCCGTCATATGACGAACATCCTCATAGCAAGGTATTATCATCACAATCAAATTCAGGCTAACGAGTCAAACAATTTCCAGAAATATTTACTCTAAGTTATGGTAATAATTTACATGACAATAGTATCTTTAAAGTTAATAGTAAAGGAACAATTTACAATCTATTTGCCACAGACTATTTATGTTAGCATATTTCAGGATGCATAATTAGATAGAGCTGTTCGTAGTAAAAAATTCGTTAAAGTGTATTTTTTTGAGATGAAAGACTGGAATTTTAGCAATATATCTTATAAAGCCGAATTTATTGAATTTATCTCACAAATAAGAATATAGGTCATTTTCAAAATTATAAAAACTATGGCGAGGTTTAATCCTGACAGTGACACAATGAGATTGAATAAGCAACTTAAACATTGACACTCAGATAGGTTGAAATGACTTGACAAAAACAATGAGTATAGAAAAAGACTAGTATAAAATATGAGTATTAGTGGATGTATTAGTGGCTTTGATAAATCACTTATAAGATTGATATTGGCATATCTTCCCGTTCATTTGCAGAGGCGAGTGAAAGGGATTGATGTGTTGGTCTTACCGGAAATCAACGGTTTGCCTTAGAGCTGTGACATTAGATTCATGCCAATAAATCCTCGGCGCATCCTCACACAGCCCCGATGAATCCGTGCTGAGATTTCGTGTGTCATTAGATGTTTTATTAATTATAAAAAAGATTAGGCTATAAGAAGTGGGTGGAATGGCAACAGACCATCTTTCCTGCCTTCGTGCTCGATGAAGTATTGAAAAGCATGGTGCGATTGTCCGATGATGCTTGTCACATGACAGACGAAAGCTAAGCACGGATTCATCAGATTCGCGAGATGGTGCTCCGGGAACCTAAATGCATAAATCTCCTTTGACTTTCGATGGGACCAATTAACAAATCACTTCCAAGCTCCTCTTCAAACGAAATTTAAGTTATGTCAACCTAAAAAGTAATCGTGGATTTGATATCTGCAAATCAAGTCAGTAACTTGGGAAAATGGTCGCTAATTTCATTTCATCGTTATTTAGCTTAAAACTGAACGATGGACGTATGGCTTCGTCGGATTACCTCTTTACAATTTAAGTGACGAGGTTATAAATAAATTAGCTAATATTAAATATGATCCAAGTTATCAACCTAGGTAGTGCTGTTATAAGAAAATCTCGAGTGTAGTGTACGGGAATACGAGCAGAAGTGAAAGGTGGGAATTCCAGCAGAAGTAATTGAATATATATATATATAAATATATATACATATATGTGTAAGTATAAATTACATCTTCATGCGCTATGCCCATTGATTCATCCTCGAAAATCTGATTATTATCTATACTTGATTTTGGTTCAGCATCCGTATAAGACGGGAATTCCGTGAATGCCACGGCATCGATCTCATTTATTTCGCTATCCAACGCAATATGGTGCTTTAGATAGGACGTGTCTGCAGGCGTCTGAAAGATTGGGAGGTTGGAAGTTGAATTCGTTAACCGTTCTGAATGTTGAAACATTTTAGCATCTGTATCCGTGCTAAAAAGTGCTCGGCGAGCCCGTATCTCATCGATGGCATCAGCTAGACATGCGGCTATACTGGAAACGTCAACTGATGCAAGACGGATTAAATCGGCCGGAAGCACCTCAGGGATACCGCCTACGGAAGTGCTCACCACAAGGAGACTGGAAAAATAAAAACGATAAGATTTATTGAGGTTGTTTAGGGTAGAAAAATTGGCAATTCAGTCAAAAGATAAAATTATACAAAAAGTTAATCAGATGATATAAAAAAAGTAATTAAGTAAAATCAGGTATCTGGAGATGTACAAATATCCCGACAAGTAAAATGTTGAAGTTAAGCCAAGGATAAAAAACTTGCCCACAGCAGACGGCTTCTATGATGGCCATGCAAAAAGCTTCTGTCAGAGAAGTGTTAAGAAAGATATCTCCCTGAACCAAAACCTATGGAAGACATAATAGATATAATAAGGATAAAGTCGTACAAAATAGCAAAAATTACTTGTAATCCGCTAAAACTTGCTATAACCCAAAAAAATTAAATAAGATCTCAAAAAGAAATCGATCTTTTGGATAGACCAATTCTTCGAAGATTTTAAGTCTGATTACAAGGAGTCAGAAGACTGCTAACAAGCAAATAGTTAACAAGCTTATTATTGGAAGAAGGTTACATAAATGTACAAAAGCAGCGACGAATAATAAGGGGCATGAGATAACGTATGCCTATAAAAGTTAAATGGAGAGATTAGAGTATAGGAAAGACGATATCAAATAAAGTTTTTAAAATTTATTGAGATAATTATTAATATTAGATAAGCTTTCATTTTTTTGTAATTGAGGCCATATAGAAGTGGGTC